TGTGGCTGGCACCTTAGCCACTTGAGCTATAGGTGCTGGGCCCCAAGAACTATGTCTTATTAACACCTAACAGAATGAAAATCTTAAAGAACACTTAAGCTGGATGACTCATACCATACTTCCAAATATGAAACACTGTATTCACTCTGCCACCAAATTCTACACTCCAATATCCAATCAATTTAGAGTGTGCTGTCCGCAGATGAATATTTTTCTTAAAATTTTCCAGGAACTCATTCATCTTTGATGGTTTAAGATAATAGGTACGAAATTCATAGAATGTTCCATCATATTGTCTTGGGCCTGTAGCCAAAGATGAGCATACCTGAAGAAAGACAAGGCAAATTTAAATATTTTGGGGAAGGTAGGATTATGTTACAACCAAACCTGAGTCTGGTACAAAGTACACTCAGTAGACTCAATCCATGTTTGTACTTGTCAATTCTCCAAATACATTTGTTCACATAGAGATGTCAATGAATATATAATCACTGTTTCCTAGCAGGGGTTCACCTTTAGCCACTTTTTCATGAAAACTGTTCAAAGACAACACTGGAGTCCTCGTTACATTCCTTTACCCAAGAACTACAATTAGGATTTTCAAACATTTACCAAGAGTATTCCCTTATTTGCCACTATCTCATCTTTACTCAACAGTGTATATATAAAGGTTTTATATATATAAAATAACTTCTTTAAAAATATACTCATCTTTTGGCAGGCACAATAAAAACATATTTACCAGCAGAAAACTCTTTTAGGTTCTTAAAAAACATGAAAATTGCTATTCAGGTCAAAGTATTTCCTAAATTCGAAATTTAGGATACCCCTGGTCAAAAACAGGACTAGAATGTAACTAGTGCAACAAAAAGCTATGACCTGCACAACTGATTGTAATACAGTGGTATGCTGAAAAAGGAAAAAAATCAGAATCAGAATTTTCGTAATTATTAGTTTCTAATTACAGTGCAAAGAAGGGCATTTGATTCATCCAGTTAAACCAGGTTGATGGAAATATTCCTTAAGAGTCATTAGTTCCTTTCGAAATAACCATACATTCACTGTAAGTCTCTAATTCATATTCTGATTGAACTCAATTTATAGACATTCATATGGCATTCATATTTTAAAATCCATTATTATGTAAGTTTAGCATGTGACCATTTTGTGAAGCTGATTACACCAGAATAATCTATTAAAGCAGTTTTGGTACTATAGTGAAACGAGGGCTTATATTGATGGCTCAGTATGTCTAACTAAAATGGTAGGCTTTTCTTTGTTATATTTTTGTTTACAAAATACAACAGTATATGTATTTTACTTAATTGCACATAATAAGGCTTAATGATAACCGTCTATCTTGAGTTAATTCCTTTCATATCTGAGTTACATTCTTATTGCCTAAATGACTAGGCTTGCCATAAAAAATCACTGCAGCTTCCCTGGCTGTTAGTGGACATTCTTTTTGTTCTTTTTAACCAAACTCTAATTACAGAATGCAAGTAGAAAAAAAAAAAAAGAAAAAAAAAAAGAAAAAACTGCCCATTGTGCTAGTTTAAAAAATATTATAAATAAAATATATCAGAAAATGAGCCTATGGGGCATTTGTAACAATTGCATTTCAGGTTGATTCGAGTAACTTGCAATTTGGAGGACAGAATATTTGGCTAATGGCATACATCTTTATTATATTTTGCAGGATCAATACACTGTAAGGAACCTGAATTGACAGAGGTGTAGGGTGGTGGAGTGTGGGGTCAGTGACATTTTCATCCCAGGACAGACTATTAATAGTGCTGGGGCAGAGATGATGAGTCTCCATCCCTTTTCTCCATCCTGGGGCTCATTCTCACCAGCCATTGATACTGGACAGGTAGCGCTCTAGCCAGCTCAGCCAAGCTGTTGGTGTAAGCAGCTGGCAGAGGAACCATCAGGCTGGAGCACAGGCAAGCAAGGCGAGCTTCCCTCCCCAACCTGAGGCTCCAGTAGCCAAAGGAACTGGACACAAGAGGGCAAGACACTGATGATTCCTCCAGTGCATCCCTGATTGGTCCATTTTCAAAACCTGCTCCTGATTGGTCTGTTTTCAGGCCCTGAAAGCTCATTGGACAATTGCCCCTATATAAGCCCCTGAGCAAGGAGCCCAAGAACAGATCACCTCAGACTTCCCTGGGATGAGAGAGCAGACCAGCAAGAGCTGTAACACTTGTATCCTGCTCTGCAAGGAGGTGTGGCACTTGTTAAAACCTATCTTATTACTGATCCTGCTCTGCAAGGTTTGGCTCTTTGTGAGAGCTGTCACAGCTGTTGAATAAAACCTAACCTGCTGTTAATCCTGTGGTCCATCAATTCATTCATCAAATTGTTGCAACCAAGAGCCTGGACATCCAGTATCAAAAGTCTGGTATCACCATGACTTTAAATTCATTTATGAGAGGATAAATGGTAGATATTTAAAAGTAAAAGCTCTCTGTCCTGTCCCACTACAGAGAGACTCAGAGGTACAAAGACTGTACTCTTAATCTAGGGTGAATGGATATGACTGTCTCATCTTTTTTTTTTTTTCCAGATTTTTTAAAAAAAGCATGTATTTGACCACACCATGCTAGATTGAGAAGTTGAAAGATTCAGGGATCATATGAGTAGTTAGTATAAGCGATGTTTTAAAAAATCGATGAATATTATTACCTTGTGATTTTCTGTGTGTGGCAAGCACGAATAAATAGGATGTCATGTACAATAAATTATTTCCAAAGATAATTATTTGGCAGCTTGCTGTATTCAGTCTGATTCACGAAGCCTGACAACATAATACATTTACAGGCAGCTGTTGGAAACACAGACTCAGTACTTGAGCCCTTAGGGTCTCAGGTAATTACAGTCATCAGTTTTTTATCTGTTCAGAAACATTACAATTTTTTTTTTTAAATTTCAAATTGATATGAGGGAACATGTGTTTAGATTACATTGTTTTCACTTCTGAGGTAAAATTAAAGTTTGAGCCTTTCACCCAGGGGGTGTGCTGCACACTCTCACATTGGGCACTTTAGGTTGGCTCCGCCAATTCCCCTCCTTCCTCCCTCTACCCTCCCCCGCCCTTGCTAGACTATATTTGTGTTTCTTTGGTGTTCGCCAGGTCTGCCTTTGGAATAAAAGGAGTAAAAGTCTAAACACCGCAAAGAAACGAAAATTTCTGGGTCAGATTCACAGAATAGGCCAACGTGTGACAGATACTGCTGAATATCAAGCTCTGTTTTGTACCTTTCTCATCTAAGGTTAAAAGAGGTTGTCATTTTGGCTCCAAACCTAGCCTGGCTTGGGAGCCAAACGCACGAAACGCGGGTGACTGGGTAGGCTCCAGCCTCTCCGGGCCCCAGACGGTCTCCTTGTGGTTCTCCGGAAAATGCTCCAAAGTTGTGTATTTCGTTTAAAAGGGGGAGACCGGTTCTGCTGCATGCGCGTGGTTGGCTTTCCCCACTAGAACCAAAAATCTGCAGGTAACCCGGTCAGGGCACAAACCAACAGGAGGGCGGACACCACCAGGCGACTACGTGGCCGGCGCTCCCTAAATCCCAGCTGGGACGGTTCCAGGCCGCAAAACCGCTACAAGGGTGTCCTCGGAGCCGCCTGGCTTCCAGGCCAGGAAAGCCCCGCCGTCCGCGGCTGCTGGCGAGTGGGTAGGAAGGCGACCTCGGCTGGCGGACGGGTCTCCCCTATGTCTCCCGGGCGTCCCGGGGTAGCTGCCTCAGGCCTCTGGGGACGCCTGGAGCTCCGGGTCTCGCCGTGCGAACCAGGGCGCATGCGCGCAACTCGCAGGCGCCCCCACCCCCCCGCCCGAGGACACGGGTCCGGCGCCCCCACGGCTCGTACCTGAGGCGTCAGCGTCCGCGTGTCCAGCGCCCTAGCCCTAGTCAGGCCATTTCTGAGGGCGACTGTGGCGCGGCTTCCAGCGCTGAGAAGGACAGCCAGACGCATCGTTTCTCAGACTTCTCCTTTTGGGGCTACTGCTCGACGGAGAACGAGCGACGCGTGGACAACTGGCTGACGCCGGCTGGGGCGAGGTGGGCTCCGCCCCTGGCCCGGGAGGCGCCGCGGCCCCGGCCAGTTGGCTCAGTGTCTGTCTCTGCAGCGCTGACCCTTGTTCCCCCTGTTTGCTCAGACGTTCTTACTCCGATGTCAGAGGTGATTTCAGTATGAACCTCTTTGGGCGCACCTCCTTAAGCGCGCCGCTGCCCAGTGCGCATAATTCCAAATTTTGTGTGGGGATTGGCATACTCCCGTAAGCCTGAATTAAAAGAAAAACAGCCAGCTAGGCCCGGTGGCTCACGCCTGTGATCCTAGCACCCTGGGAGGCCGAGGGCTGGAGTTCGAGACCAGGCAAGAGGATCGCTTCAGCCCAGGAGTTTGAGGTTGCTGTGAGTTAGGACGCCCAGGCACTCTACCCAGGGGGATAGAGTGAGACTGTCTCAAACAAACAAAAAGACTTCTGATCTAGTCCTCCCAATCTCCCAGTCCCACAGTGGTGGTCCCCAACATAACCACTTTAAATGTTTCAAGCTGCTTCTCTTGATGTCTCTTTTCATATTTTAAAATAATGGCCATTTCCTACTTGTTCTTGATTTTTCAGTTATGGATGTAACTGGACTCTTTCTATTTATAGACTCTTTCGACAGAAGATGAGGATTTATGTCTCTTTCATACAACTGACCCAAATTCAGTTTCTTTCCTGCATCTAATAATGCTTACATTAAATATACATAGTAGTTAATTGTTACATTATCATTTTCCATTAACCTACATTACACTAATGTTTATTCTCACTACTACAGTAATTACATTATTGCACACGCTGTAGCAGTTTTTATGTCGTTAGGACTAGGGAATTATTACAGGGCTGTTGCCTGTGGCTGTATTGGTTGTGCCTTGTGCAAGGACTTCTGAGTCATCTGTCCAGAGGAAGAGAGGCTTTATAACGGATCCCCTGCTCCCTGATTCATTTCGCTCAGTCTCACTTCCCTCTGGTCCTAAATTCAGTCTATTTTATTCTCTCTCCCCTCCTCATCTTTCAGCGACTTATATTGTAGAATCACTTAGTGATGCTAACGTTTTAATATTACGAATTTTAAGAGGGATGCCTTAGGTTTTCTTGAAGAGAAGCATCTCCTTGTAACCATGCCGGTCCAAACAAATCTTCATTTGTGTCAGGGCAGGATCTCTGTGATTACAAACTTACTCTCTTAAGACTTTTTTTTTTACTCTGGAATTCACAATTCACTTATTCATTGATTATTTAGTAAGTTCCTTCTATGCACCAGGCACTTTTCCAGATATTGAAGTACATAATTAAAAAAAAGTTCTTGTCCAGGAAGAACCGACTGAAGCAAACAAATAAACATATTAAGAGAAAATATATCAGGGATTAATAAATGGGATGAAGAAAAATACCATAGGCTACAGAGAAATAGAAAGTGCTGGAGGGAGGTAGCACAGATTGCTAGCTATTGGCTTGTGACATGAGGATTTGGGGCTCTTCATACCACTCCCCGCAAATATGCTTCCCTTCCTGCATCTACTAATGTTTAGATTAAAAATGATTATTTTGGGAGACAAAAAAGTGTTAAAAGCTCAGCAACCATGGATGGATCTTGTCAAGTAATGGGCGTCATTCAAAGGTGATCTGACCTGGCTATTTCACTGAGATCTCCCACCCCTAAACTATTATTATCTGCAAGTAATTTCTTTTTATCTAGTCAGTTTCCTCTGAGAGAAAACTTCTAGCATCTTGTCTGTGTCTATATGATAAATGCCTTAATGCCAGTTTCTTGCGGCTGATAAGGTGAGGAACCAGGGGACTCAGTATTTGATAGTGTCTTTCAATAATACATTAATCAAGATAGATTAAATTGCTCTTACAGGCTTGGCACCTGGGCACAAGCGGCTAAGGCGCCAGCCACATACACCTGAGCTGGTGGGTTCGAATCCAGCCCAAGCCTGCCAAACAACAATGATGGCTGCAACCAAAAAATAGCCGGGTGTTGTGGCAGGTGCCTGTAGTCTCAGCTACTTGGGATGCGGAGGCAGGAGAATCGCTTGAGCTCAGGAGTTGGAGGTTGCTGTGAGCTGTGATGCCAAGGCACTCTACCCAAGGCCACAGCTTGAGGCTCTAAAAAAAAAAAAAATTGCTCTTACAAAGTAACACAAGGATGTATTAGGACTAAACCATTATAGGATTTTAATTTTTATAAGAATCCAAAGTGGGTTTTTCTAGTTGGCATGCAGCTTTTCCATACCTGGTAAAGTAAGGACCCAGGCTTCTACCTTGTGGCTTTGCTGTCTAATGTCTCATCATTACCTGCATTGTCCAGCAGAAAGACAGAACTTCCCAGAGAATCTTGAAGAGGAAGATAGAGTGAGGAGCAAAATTTGTGGTTAAAACTTAGAGATGGATAAATACTGTTAAGTGCTTCTAACTTCACTTTTTCACAGATTTCATGTATCTTCAAAATGTATGATTTAAGCTTCTTTATCTCCATTTTCTAAGTGAAAAAGGTGGAGTTCCAGGGGGTAAATAATTTTCTCAGGTTTACTGCTGCAAAGTGGCACAATTAGGTCTTGAAGCAAGATTGTAAAACTTACGCAGTTTACCATTTATTTTTAAAAGATATGTGGTCTTTAAGGCAATTTTAAAATAACCTTTTTTTTCCTTTTTTTGAGACAGTGTTCTTTTCTTCTTTTGGGACTTTTGCCCTGGCTAGAAAGCAGTGGGGTCATGATAGCTCAATGCAACCTCACACTCCTAGGCTTGAGTAATTTTCCTGACTCAGCTTCCTGTGTAGCTGGGACTACAGGTGCATGCCACAACACATGGCTGATGTTCCTGTTTTTTGTAGAGAAGAGGTCTTGCTCTTGCTCAGGCTGGTCTCAAACTCCTAGCCTCAACTAATCTTCTTGCCTCAGCCTCTTAGAGTGCTAGGATTACAGGCATGAGCCACCGTGCCCAGCTGGAAAATAGCCTTTAAACTGAATTTAAAAAAGTATTATTTTTCTGTGGCTATCTTTTTTACTTATCACTTATACTGCCTGGAAAATGCATAAGGTAAGCATTTCAGAAATTTTTATTGTATATCCTGAACTTCTGAGAAGTAGCCCAAGGGATGGGTAGTTCATAGCTAGAAAAATCATATACAAATTTGTTTACTAAATAGGCTAGAATGATCTACAGTAATTGGTAGTTATTTTACATTGTATAGAAAGAGACAGCTTATTTAAGAAGGTAATGTAGGACATTTATCATATGTACATCATTGTATAAGGAAATGTCTATGACTCTGCCACTGTGCTTAAAAAATAGGTATTGCCAGCAACTTGTGCAAGAGCTTTTGAGTCATTGCACATTCCTTCCTGGTCATGTCCTCCTCCTTACCACACTCCCTCATTTCTCTGAAGTAACCTTGATCTAGAATTTTGTGTTAATAATTACGTTTATTTTCTTTATAATTGAACTACACTTGGATATAAGTCTAAACAATAACTGCTTTGGTTTGCCTAGTTTAGATTGCTTTTTAAATGAATGCAGACTGTATTTATTATTTTATGTACTTCTTAGCTTTAACTTTATGTTTTGCAAATTACCTCTCAGTTGCATAAATAAATTAATAATAAATTAATATACCTTAATTTTTTTTGTTAATTTGACTACTCTGGATAAATCTATTTGAATTTCTTTGTATATGCCTCCTAATTCCACTGGGAGAATTTCTTTAGGGCAAACATTCCTTTGCCCTTTTTCTGTTATAAAACAAAATCTGTATTTTCTTGGAAATCTGTGAGCCTGCAGACCTTAAATGTTTTTAAATGTATAATAAATGCATAGGGTTATGAAGAAAAAAATTACTGAGAAAAAAATTGAATTATAATCATAACACAAAGAAAAAATTTGAATTAGAATAATAAATATAGAAGCAAAATTTTCAAAAAGAAAGAGATATGCTTGATTAGAGCGCTAATTAAAAGTATCTAATGATAGATGTAGGAGGTATAATTTTTTTTCTTTTTTTAAATTAAATCATTGCTGTGTACATTAATGAAATCATGGGGTACAATGTGCTGGTTTTACATACAATTTGAAATGCTTTCATCAAACTGGTCAACATAGCCTTCACAGCATTTCCTTAGTAATTGTGTTAAGACATTTGTATTCTTTTTTTTTTAAGATTCTTTTTTAATTTTTTATTT